AAAAGTCCACATATCTCCACCATTCCATTGATCTCTTCGTTCATGTAATATTTTTATGATAGGATTCCATAATTCTTTATGAAATCCAGTAGCATGTGTGAATACAAGTGATGTTTTACCGTCGTTATTTGCATCGATATCTTTTACCACGTAAGAATTTGAAGCAATTTGAAGGTGACCACCTTTTCCTGGCATTTCACGCTCTAAGGAAGCCGGAAAGTTGTGTGAAACAATTTTAAGAATTGGCATTTATTCTTTAATTTCTGTAATTCTGTAAATGGGTACAGTATTTATATGCTATAGATTTATTGATGGGAATATTTGAATGCTGGCAAGGGAAAATCTCGAATCGGCATTATATGCCTGTTCGAGGTTTTCCCTCATTTAATCAATTATCAATCATTTCATCGACAGCTCATTTAGCTGACATCACGTCAAGTGACAATTTACTAAAAATATATACCTGAAACTAACCCTACCCAACTAATACATGTGTGCCTAAATTAATTTTGAAAAAAAGTATTTTCGGCATTACTAAATTTTTTATATAAACCCTCCAAATAACTATATTATATGATGTATTTTGATGAAAAGAGTTCAAAACATTTCGGCAATAATTTCATTAATTTCGGCACTATATAAGACTAATTTCGGTTGCCTAAATGCCGGAATTACTTTTTATTAAGATGCACACATGTATAACCCTAACCCCATGTGATGTAGGTTAGTGAGCGGCACTGGGTTTGGACCAAAATGTTAGTTATTATACAATCTACCGTTACATTTGATCTGCATTTCATGGAATGTACCAGTACTAATTAATAATCAGATATATAACATTAAATTATCATGGATTGATAACGGAAAGTAGAGACACCGGACATATGAGAACAATAATATGTAGGCACAAAATGTGATTAATATAAATATTGTAAAATTTGAAATTATCATTCACACAAAAATACGGGTTAAAACAGTAAAAAATATGAAAGTTTGAGCGAAGACATTTCAGCAACCATCTGATCAAATTCGATAAAATTTTTTTTATTCGAATTTTATAGATCCACAGAATTCAAATAAAAGAATTTTTATCAAATTTGATCAAATGGTTACTGGGATATCTTCACTAAAAATAACATCAAAAATCAATATAGCGA